GCGCCGCCCGCCGCAGACCCTCCCGCGCCCGCCGTGCCCGCCGCGCCCGCGGCTCAGGCAGACACCCAGCCTGCCGTGGGACACTAGGGCTTTAACAGTATCACGGGCTTAAAGCACTCTGTGCTAACCAGAGATCCGCGGTTCGAACCCACCCGCTGCTCGAAGAAAGAACGATGGGGCAGGAAACGAGAGATGGCAGTCGGCTTCCATAAAGATTTACGGCTACAGCCTTGGGAACCTTGCGGGGCAGTTCTACTCTGTCCTGTAGGGTCACTAGGAGGGACTTGATGGCAATGGGTTTGGGTGGGGTTTTTTTTCCCCCCCTAGCTTGATCACTCTCAGGGCTGGATTTCCACACCCCCCAGTCTCCACTTCCAGGGTTGATGAGTGGAGATAAGGTAATGACGATTCTCTGGGACTCCCAACCCGTACTACCACTAACATTTTTATGAATTCGAGTATTTCAAAGGAATTTTTAATTCATATATGGAAAACTCAAAGCAGAGTACCTGGGAGGGAGGAAAATGGTGGTAAAGGAGAAAAAAATCTTTAGTAAATAAAATTTCTGTAAAAAGAACAAGTCTTTCCTTGTCACATGAGGCACGATGGGGGGGAACCTTGAAACAACTCCAGGCATGCAGTCTCCTGTTCGTTAATGTTTGAGGTTTTTTTCCCTGGATGAAAGTAGTTCAGCCCCCTTGGGGCCCCCTTTTTGAAACTCAGCCCCTTCCTAGAGCTTCCTTCACTTTCAAAAGCTAACTAGTTTTTCTCACATAGGTACTTCTGTTCATAAAATTGGCAGAATCAATTGGCAACGTGCCATGGTCTTCCTATGAGAGGTCCGTCTGGCCTTTGTGTTGTTTGGGCTTGTTAGCTGCGGGGTTTTTTAAGCCACTTTTTGCACATTTGTTAAGGAAAAGCTGCTAGAGTTCTGCTGTTTACTTTAAAATTGAGATATTACCCTGATCTTCAGTGAGAGTTCTGGGCAAGGTTACCTTGAGGGAGCTCTGGTGGTCTAGTGGCAAAAAGCTGCGCTGCAACCCGGAAGGCTCCCGGTTTGAATCAACCCACAGCTCACTCCGTGTGGTGCTCTCCTCCGGCCTTGTGACTAACTGCCTCTGAAAACCCACCTGATGTTCACCTGTGGATTGGTTCTGACTTGATGGTACACAACAACAAAGCTATCTTTGGGAGGTAGCTGCTCCAGCTTTCTGTTGTCGTAAGTCCCTGGCATAGCACTACAAAACCTGATGCAATATGGATACTTTCTGATGGTCTTTTCTCCGTTGCTAAGATTGGGTGGGCAAATTATGCTTCATTGGGCTTGCATTCCCGGTGACTTGTGGAGTCCCAGTAAAATAGGTTGTTGGTGCGATTCAGTTAATTTCAACAAATAGGCAGCTCCAGTGGCCTAGATTGCCTTGCAGTCTTGAAGGCACATAGTTCAAATCCACCAGCTGCTCCATGGGAGAAGGATGGGCAATCTCCCCGCCCCTTTGATAACTACCTCTGAAACCCTGCAAGAGGGGCAGCTATGGGTTGATTCCAATTTGACAATACACAACAACAAGCAATAGTATGTAGGACTGAGTCAGGGACATAGTGGTAAGAAGTTATGCTGCAATCCCTGAGGCATATGCAGTTGGAATCCACCACGCTACTCCTCGGGAGAAGGATGGGTAATTTCTTCCCATTCAATTTACTGTCTCTGAAAACCTGCTAGAGGGTACCTTAGCACCCACAAAAGTTCTTAAAAGTGCATCAATAAACAGCATCATGATAAATAAAGAAAAGATTGATGTTGTTAATGATTTAATTTTACTTGGATCCACAATCACCATCAATAGATGGATGTTTTCTATTGGAAAATCTGACAAGGATCACTTTAAAATGCTAAAGAACATGGATGTCATTTTAAGGACTAAAGTGTGTGTGACCCATCACTCACTCACTCACTTCCTTCAAGTTAGAACTGAATCAGCAATAGCCAGTGGGACTAGGGATGGTGATACAAAGAGAACTGATGCCTTTTAGCTGTGGTGCTGGAGAAGAATATTAAATATACCATGAACTGCCAGGAGAACAAACAGGTTTATCCTAGAGAGGGTGAAACCAGACTACTCTTTGGAGGCAAGGATTCTGAGGCTTTGTCTGACATACTGGGCATGTTGCAAGGAGGGACTGGTCCTTAGAAAGGAACGTCATGCTTAGAAGGGTGGAGGGACAGTGGAAGAAGAAATGGATTGATTCTGTGACTGGAGTAATGAAGGTTGGTGTATCAGAGATAATTAAGGTTGGCACAGGATAGAGCATACATAGGGTAGCTATGAGTCACAAGTGACTCGATGGCACACAATAACAACAATAAATCAGAACTGTAGCAATCCCTCTAACAGGTTTTCAGAAGCAGTAAATAAATGGAAATTATCTTTTTCCCTCAAACAGAGCACCCGGTGGACTCACATTTGTCTTTCAGTTGGCAGCACAACTCCTTATGATGCTAGGAGATTCCAACTGTCTTTCGGTCAGCAGTACAACTGCCTAGGGATTACCCGATCAGAGCTACAGTGCCCTGACACAAGCCATCATATACACAAGCCATCGTATTTTCAATTGCTTTGTATACATAGTAATGTCATTGATAAAGAAAACCGAAGAATTGATACCTTTGAAATGTGTTGAAGAGTATTGAACAGACTGCCAAACTAGCAATCAAATCTATTCTGAAAGGGTGACTTCTAAAAGGAAAAAAGGCATCATGCTTGGAAAAGTTGAGGGTCAGTGAAGGAGAGAGAGACCCTTGACAAGATAGATTGACACATTTAGTCCAATAATAGACTTAAGCATAGCAAAAATTGTGAGGTTGGCCACGAATCTGGCAGTGTTTTGTTCTACTGTACACACAGTCCCTATGAGTTTGAGTCAACTAGATTACACCTGTCATACGTTGGATGGTGTCCCTCCTTCCAAAAATGCTTGATCTACTATGGTAAGGAGTTGCACTGACACCCCAAAGACAAGCACTTCAAATCCAATAGTGGCTCTTTAGGAAAAAGATAGGAGAAAGGAGGAGAAATCTCCTCCCATACAATTTCTGGTCACTTTAGAGTCACCTATATGGAAGCAGGAGTGGCATCCACTTCCATAATAGCTTGCCTCCGGAAACCCTATGAACCTGGAGAGAGGATGAAAGTCACATAAGTGTTGAGTACTTTCCTCCATAGGGTCGCTATGAGTCGCCTACGACTCGATGGCACTTAACAACAATATGAATAAAATGTGTTGTTGGTGTTGATAGGCGTCCTTAAGTGGACTACAACTCATGGTGACCCTGTGGACAACTGTTCTATCTTGTGCCATAAGAAAGTGTTGAGGCTGTCAATGAGTTAATCTTACTTGCATCCACGATCAATACACTTGGTACCAGCAGTCAGGAGATCAGGAGACATATTGCACTGGGAAAATCTGTAGCCAGGGACCTCTCCAAATTATTGAGGAATAATCATGTCGGTTTGAGGACTAAGATACATCTGATTCATGCCATGGTCTTTTCAGTAGTCACTCACATCTGAAAGCTAGACAATGACTAAGGATGACAGAAGAAGAATTGATGCCTTTGAACTGTGGTGTTGGAGAAGAGTGCTGAAGATCCCATGGACGGTCGAAAAAACAGTTAGGCCTTGGAAAAGGTGCAACCAGTGTTCTCCTTGGAGACAAATATAATGAAACTCTGTCTTACATACCTTGAGCATGTTGCTAGGAAACAAACCTTGGAGAGGGATATCATGTTTGGGAATGTGGAGAAGCAACAAAAAAGAGGAAGACCTGTGACCAGGTGCATTGACACATTGACTGTGGCATTGGGCATGAATGTGTCAGAGATTGTTAGGATGACAGGGCATAGATAGGACAGTGTTCAGATTGGTTGTTCATAGGATTGTTATGAGCCATACTCAACTGCATATAAAAGAACAGCAACATTCCATGCCATGAAATGATCTTTCATAATCTGATAAAATAAGTGATGATAGAAGAGGAGCTCAGGAAGCCTAGTGGGAAGAAGCTGCAATGTAATCCCAAAGGAGCATGATTTGAACCCACCAGCTGCTTTGCCAGAAGGATGATCAGTCTCCTTCTATGCAATTAACTCCCACTGAACACTCGTTAGAGAGTCAGCTATGACTTAGTTCTGACTCAATGGCACACAACAACAGCAGGAGGAGGATTATGGGTGAAATGCAACATGTCCTAATCCCATTTTAGGCGAATAAAGATGTTATCCTAGGGTGTAACTTGTAATACATTTATTTCACTAGAGATAAAAGGGGGAGAAATCTAGTAGGGACAGGGTTGCCCTTAGTACCACCAAGAAATCATTTCCAGAAGTGGAATGAGTATTTTAGTATTTGGACCTATACAAGTCTTTAATACTGGGAAAGACCAAGACACATAAGAATCTCCAGGAAACACTTGGGCTACAGATGCTGAATGGAACAAGGACTTCCCTCCACAACCATCAGAGAGACATAAGGCCTTTCTCTAAAGCAGATACTCTGAATTGAGATTTATAGCCTCCTAAACTGTAAATGAATAAATTCCTGTTTGTTAAAGCTGCCCACTTGTATCTCTCTGTGATAAC